CGGCGGAGCGCCTCTGACCCCCGGGGACCACGGCCTGCGGCTGGGGAGCAGGCCGGGCCCGGCAGCAGTGCCATCGCTTAGGCGGGTGTCGGGGGTCCCCCCGGCAAGAAGGGGCTGTAGCCAGCAGCAGTGAGGGAACCTGCCTGGGCAGAGGGACGAGGAGGCCAGCGCAGAGTGTGTGTTGGTGCTGCCACTGCGTCCGGTGCTCACCAGGTCGTCAAACTGTGCCGACAGTATTCTTGGGGCTATAACTTGCTTATTTCACCAGACCTTTCTAGCTTTCTGGAGGCTGAATGTGTTGGATCTACCTGGTACTCCTGGAAAAAAAAAATTGGCTATGAAATAACACGTTTAAAGCGTGGCCACATTCCTCAGCTTTTTTTGGCTGCCTGGATACCTACTGACCTGGAGGTCAAGCGTTCCATATTAAAATGTCCACGCTGACCTTCCATTAAATTGTGGTTCCCCTCCATTGTGTGAGCAGAGTTAAGATTGTTGCTGCTGGGAGGAGGAGCTCCCATCTCCCTTCCTCCTGCCTGTCTGCGTGGGACCTTTTTTTGGGCTGATTCAACACAGCAGTCTGACAGAAGGCTGGTGAAATTGCTCCTAGAAGGTTCTGACAAGGCCCCAGAGTCCTTGTGAGGGAAGGGAGATGAGACCTCTCCTGTCTAACTCAGCTGCTTGTGGAAATGCAGCCTGACTCGATCAAGTTTTATTTAGAATACTTAAATGCCATTGCAGGAAACTTCAAGAGCTATCTTTGTATTCATTTGAAGCTTGGTGAAGTGTTGGTTTTACTTTCAGCCTGCTGCTGGCCGATAAACCCAACTTCTGTGCTGAGAAGCATGCTAAATGAATTTCTTTGTGGATTATGGGAAAAAGCTACTGTGGTTGTTTTTGCGTTTATGGTTTGATTTGTTTTGCCATTCTTTTCCTAGTGATAAAACTGTGCAAGCTGCTCTTTCTGATGGGTGACATCTGCTGGGTTTGTACCCAGCGAGTTTATGTAGCCCAGGTGAAGGAAGAAGCTGCTGTGCCTTTTGGTCTGTGTGCTACGAGTGGGGAGTTCCAGGGCCATCCAAACTTGGATCAGAAATTACACTGAGAAATTCCAAGTGGAGAAGCTGAAATGTTGCTGTAGTTCCTCACACAAATGCCAAGTTGCTAATACAAAGGGATGTTTCAGTCCACAGACAACTTACTCTCTGACATTAATGTCCTAAAGTTCAGCTGTCCCAACCAGTCCTACAAGTTTTCAGTGTCTTTGGTTTGATGTTACTGGTGTTGTAAGAGGGGGGAAAAAAGCTCATAGACTTGCCCATTTCTTTTTTTAAAATCTGAGGGTTTTAATGATGTCATATAATGGCTTTGAAATTCAGTTATATTTATAAAGCATAATTATTTAATTGGATAAGTGGGGTTGGAATGCAACAGGACAGTTTTATTTGGAACATGAAACCTTTTTGTGTCTGTTTTTTATATTTTTAGGAGCATGAATGTCTTCAGTGTTTGTCCTGCAATTTTGGTGGAACGTGTTATAGTAAGCATTTTCTGCAGTGGTTTGCAGTCCTCACTGTCAGGCATGCAAAGCTGCTTTTCCAGCTACCTAAGAAAGAAGGAAAATCCTCCCTGGTAAAGGAGACAGACCAGAGCAAATATTTTCTGCGCTGTGAGTTTCCATTTACTAAAAGATGGAGAACTGTCATTTTAATTTTGTAGTTATTGTCCTCTTAACCCATGAGCAAAACTGACCTTTGTGCTGCTACTGTGGCTGAAAGCTGCGAGTAGAAGTTGGAAAGAGAGAGCTATTCATAAAGAGGAAGACTCAAGAGCACAGGGGCAAAACCATCATCTTCCCATCATCCCATACTTTTTAGCAGTAGCAAGAGGACAGAAGAAAAACGTTGCTTGATCTAGCATTGAGAGGTGCTTCAAAATCACTTTCTTCTCGCAAGTTTCTGAATGGGATCTGTGGTCTTACACGAAACTGTAGGTGGTAAACGGAGGCATTAGACCTTTTCTCTAGGGCTTTGCCCCCAGTTGTAATGGTGGCTTCTTCTGCCTGTTGATCTTAGTCCTGAGGCTGAGTAGAAGAGCTGGCAACTTTTTCAAACACTCCTTATTCAAACACAGAGAATTCCTCTCATCCTCATCACTGGAAAAGCACAGGAGGTTTGCTTATATCTCTCAAGAATGGCTTTTACTGTGAAGTCTCACTGGGACTGTATTGGTCCTCTTGTGAAAGAAACTCAGAATTGACCTTGCCTTTCTTCCCTGTAGTGCTCTTTGCTTTCCTTGGATCAGTGGTATTGACTTTATTGCCCTTGTCCTGTGCAGCATGGATCTTCCCTTGCAGCTCTCCTCTTGGCTCCCATGTTTTCCACTTTATACTTCTTTGAGGGAACTGAAACCTTAGTAATAACATGGAAACAAATTAAAAGAGCTCGTTCATATGCATTGCTGTCATGGCAGTACTTTGATGCTCTTCTTAGTGTTACATCTTTTAATTTATAAAAGAAATTTTATTATGGGTATATATATATGAATACATATTGTATAGTATGGAAGGAATTTATAAAAGGGAAGCATCTTTCTAATTATAGCTCAAAACTAAGGTTTGAGAGTTTTGGCTAATACAGTCTGTCTCCCATTTTGGTCTTTATTAGCTGTTTGTTTTCTTAGAGCATGCTGTAAGTTATAAGGTGACTGCGTCTGAGAACTTGTCTTTGGTTAGAGGCACTGGGTGGGTAGTGCTCTGGGTCCCTTCACTGAGACTTCCTAGTAGAAAGGATTACATGATAAATCCTCTTTCTGTAGGTCCTGTCCACAGAAAGAAATTGCTGAGGCATGAATGCTGTGAGAATTGGAAATAAAGGTTGCATATGAGTAAAAACGGTTAACACTTGTTTCGTGATGAATTATCAAGGATTATAGGCAGCTGTTCTTTGAAGTATTTTAACTTTGTGTTGAATAGCTCAACAATAACATGTTCACTTGATTATTTAGAACTTTTGCAGGACCAAGAGAAAAGCTAACTTTTTAAGTGAGTGGTGACTCACCTTTGGCTTTGCAGGTAAAGCAAAGAGCCACATCACCTATTCTGTGGCTGAGAAAATTCTGAAGCTGGGCTTTTTTTAGTCACCTTTAATATTGCCTTCTTACAGTAGCAGTGCATGGGGTTTGAAACCAAGCTTTGGATGAGTTGAACAAATAGAGAGTAATCAAATCTTAGCAGGGCCTATCGGCTGGGTATCTTCTGTAAGAATCCTGTTTCTGCATATTGCATCAGTGGGGAAAGATGTAAGACTTGAACTGTTATTATCAGTACATGAGTTATTTTCATTCAGAGTACTTGCTGGGTTTGGCAAGCCTTCTTTTCCAGCATTTCTAGTGGAGAGTCCAAAAATGGTTCTGCCTGAACACTGAGCCGTTCTTGTGCCTGCCATCTGGTGGCCAGATCCAACAGCTAACTGGTCTGGCTGCAAAAATCCAGCTGAGGCTCGGTCTTAAGGATACTAGAGAAAAAAGTAGATAATTTTCTCACTGAGCTGTGTTCAGAAGGAGATCAGTTTTTGCATGGTTCCCCTGGAGGAAAAATAATTATGAGTTCTGTTAGCATCTGTCTTCTCTTTCCTAGGACATGATGGAGCTCCTAGAGGAAGATCTCACCTGTCCCATTTGCTGTAGCCTGTTTGATGATCCTCGTGTCCTGCCCTGTTCGCACAATTTCTGCAGAAAGTGTCTGGAAGGAATTCTTGAGGGAAATGTGCGGAATGTGCTTTGGAGGCCGTCCCCTTTCAAGTGCCCCACGTGCAGGAAGGAAACTCCCGTTACTGGAGTCAACAGCTTGCAAGTCAACTATTCCCTGAAAGGTATTGTGGAGAAGTATAACAAAATCAAAGTAACTCCGAAAATGCCTGTGTGCAAAGTGCACAGCGGGCAACCCCTTAACATTTTTTGCCGGACAGACATGCAGCTGATCTGTGGGGTTTGTGCCACCCGTGGTGACCATACAAAGCACGTTTTCTGTTCTATTGAAGAAGCTTATTCCCAGGAGAAGCGAGCTTTTGAAACCCTGTTTCAGGGCTTTGAAACTTGGCGTTGTGGTGATGCCCTCTCACGGCTGGATACCTTGGAAACCAGTAAGAGGAAAGCTCTGCAGATGCTCACCAAAGATTCTGACAAAGTGAAGGAGTTCTTTGAGAAGCTGCAGCACACCCTGGAGCAGAAACGAAATGAGATTCTCTCTGACTTTGAGACCATGAAGCTTGCAGTGATGCAGGCCTATGATCCGGAAATCAATAAACTGAACACAATTTTGCAAGAGCAACGGATGGCTTTTAACATTGCAGAGGCCTTCAAAGATGTGTCTGAACCCATTATATTTCTGCAACAGATGCAGGAGTTCAGGGAAAAAATCAAGGTGCTCAAAGAAACCCCTTTACCTTGTTCCAGTGTGGACATCAGCCCTACAATGAAGAGCTTTGATACCAGCCAGTGGAATGGAATAAAACTAGTTGATGTGGACAAACTTTCCTTGCCTCAGGAAAACACCACTCTTAAGTTCAAGATTCCCTCAGTCTTTTCACGCAGATTTATAGTGAACTCTCTTATTTGCTTGCTTATTCTTGCTGTCACCAGAATGTCCTTTGTGGAGTCAGTCGTTGACAATCTCCAGTGCTGGAAATCTCAATTCTTTACAATTAGCTTGTCCTATTTGGCAGATACAGTGGAGATAGCAGATCATGCAGTCTTTTACTGGGAACAGATGACAGATGGAGCTTCACTTCTAAGAGAAAAGTGTAAAAACTATACGTTGGTTGTACTGGATAATGTTGCACAGTTTGTGTGCAAGTATAAACTGTTGTGAAGTCCCTGCTGAAATATAAGAACTAAGAGTGATCTGGTGAAGAAAACATGGAATTTCTTAAAATTAATTGGGTTTTTAAGACTTCCAGTGAAAACATTCAAAGATTCAACATGTTTCCAAAACATTCATACTGTTCACATGCCTTGAGCACTGATAAACTGGAAGATGAAATGGAGCTTTGAAAAACACATTGTTTCTGGATTATTCTTTCAGTGGTGATTATGGGAATATTATTCACTGTAAATCAATTTTCTTACCAAAATATAGGGCCAAACTGTGTACTTAGTTTAATGTTAATGTAATGTAGAATAAGATAAAAAATGTCACTTCCCAAAAGGTCATGGTTAAAGAAATATTTTTTCTAACTGGGAAGTGTTTTGGAGAGAGGAAGAACAGCTGTGATTGAGAAGAGCACTGTACTGAGAGGCTTGTTGAGGACTGCCCTTCCACTGCAAAATACAGAGCACATCATTCACATTCTAGAACCACTTTCTATCTGACGATGTTACTCCTCACTGAAATAGATATATGTATTTTTTTGTATAATCAAATGCTGTAATTATCCCATGCATTCAGATTACTGTAGATATTGGTCATTGTTTACATGTTCTATACAAAAATGTATCTTCAGGGTAGGCCTAAATTCTAGGGGTAGGGAGAAATCAGTTGAGGTTGATAAGAACAAGCTGCAAGATAGTATGTACTTTGCAGGTAGTACATACTTTGCAGTTTACTTTTCCAGCATCAAATTGTTGGGGTAACTGAGCTGTCTTGTTAGATCCATGTTTCTCTGAAGCCACACTTTCTTAAAAAGTGGCCTTAATGTAAACAGTTTAGTGCGGTGAAAGGCACGCATGGGTCAGCCACAGGAAGGCAGCCTGCAAAGGTTTCTCTCCAGATCGTAATTCCAAAAGCCAGGAAAAATGTTGGGATGATTCCTTGGAACAGATTGCGTAATGTGACAGGAGTATGGATGTTGTTGTTGTTTGGAAGTGCTGTAGCATTGGAACATATGTATAGGCTCTTGTACTGTTACTGTATTTTTGTGTTCCTTTTTTCAGGAATTAATTGAATTTCTGAGTGTTTTGACTTGGCCGTAGGATAACAGCGATTTAAAGTGAACTGTAAGCTTGAGTTCTCTGAAGTGCCCTTCTTTAAGAGCATATGATACTGAAATATATTGCTTGAAGCACATCTAACCTCTTTTTGCAGTGGTCCTATGAACAGCAATATATAGAATGAAAACATTTAGTTGACATTTCCGGAAAACAAATGTAACACATGCCATACTTTGGCAATATTTGCTTGCCTCTCTCAAGGTTTAATAAGTTGTGACGGTCAATTCATTGTCTTCCAGTAGTCCTTGCAAGCTGTTCATTTCAAAAGTAAAACATTAAATGCCAAGAATCTAAGTTTCCAAGCAACCAAACCCTGCAAACAAAACTATTGCACATGATATTTACATCTTTGTTGCCTGGGAATCCTGTTGCTGCTCCACACCTCACTCCAAACACTTGCTAAAAGCACTGAATGGTTTTTGCAGCTGCAGATGCCTTGCAGTTTAGGAAAGATCCAGTCACAAACACGTAGATCAGAGAGGTACAATTCCTGAGTGGCTGAGATAGTGATGAGTAACCGAGAGGTGGTGGTTCTGAGCGTGGGAGGTGTGAGATATGTAACCCGGGCTTCTACCTTGCAGCAGTTCCCTGAGTCCAGGCTAGCACGGATGTTGAACAATGATGACCAGGAATTTAAACTGGTGAATGGACAGTTTTTTGTGGACAGAGATGGAACTTTGTTTAGTTACATCATGGACTTCTTGAGGACTCTTCAGGTCTCCTTACCTACTGATTTCTCAGACTATCAGAGGCTGCAGAGAGAAGCAGAATTCTATGGGCTCTACCCTCTGGCTGATGTCCTGAGCCAGGAACACTTGCTGAAGCCAAGGCTGGAGATCTTGGAAGTGCGTTTTTCTCTCCAAGAGATGCAGGCCTTTTTCCGGATCTTTGGTTCCTGCAGTACCACTGTTGAGACACTAGCTGAACAGATCACTGTGTTTACCGGGCAGCAGTCGGGACAGAGCTGGAACAGCCCTTTTCCTTCTCAGAAACCACTCGTTCCACTTCCTTTGGAAAGGCCTTCCCATCACGACGTGGTTTTTCAGTGTGGTACTGACTACTCTGCTGGTGACCAGTTTGTGGCCAGGTACTCTCCCTAGTGTGACTTTTCATTATGGAAATGTCTTTGTGACTTCTAGTTCATGAAGTACACTTACTTGCTAGCAAAGCTCATTTTAAAGAAACTGTTGGACAGCTGTCTGAGAGAAAATAATTATGTTTCCTTCTTTCTGCTAGTTTAATGTTACCTTTTTCTAGTTCTGAAACACCCAGTTTAATTTCTGTTACACTGATTTGCCTATTCTTCAACTTTATAAAATACTGTTCTTGATGTTTGTTTTTGAGTTCTCTTGGGTCTTTCTCTCTCTCTGCCCTTTCCTCCTCACTTGCTCTCCCAGGCTTTAGAATTTCACACCATCAATGACCTTCTAGAGGACTTGAAAAACACAGAGTAAGATGAAGCAAAGAAAAAAAATGAGTGAAGTACTGAGTAAGCCTAAAATCTCCACTAGCTCATGGTCCAAAAGACTTTCATGTGGAAAAGAGGAAGAAGAGAATGGTTAAACAGGGTTAAAAACACCAGTGGAACTAAGATAGCAATTCAGGGACTGGAAAGCTTTTGTAGAGCCTTTTATTGGGGGAGGGAGAAGGGGTAGATTATTAACTATATGCTATACAGTGGGTTTTCATTGAATTCAGAGCCAGGTTCTGTTTTTATTAAGATTACTGTATATCAGTGATTTTAGTGATAGCAGTATTGTATTCTGATGATAATTTAAGTTTTTTAAACAAGCTTTTGCTGGATGTTTCTATTGTACAGACACATGTTCTTACTGTATAAGAAAATGTAACCTAATTTGTCCTCTGTGGCTGTTAGAACATCAGGAATTTTATGGAAATTTCACTGAAATATTTCCAAAAGGGTTATTCTATCTGAATATATGAATCAACATGGCAGTCTTTTGATTATTTAAACAAGAAAAAAAATATTATCTTTCTTCTAGCTTTCTTTAGCTAAGCAAGTAGAAGAAAAACTACTTTGAATTTGCAAAGCAACATCTATTTATGTGCCATACCTTAACTTTATAACGTATCACTAATTTTAAGGGACTAACAATTGGTTGAGTAGCTATTGCAACTTAAATAGTGGGGAAAATATCCCTGATTCTTTCTTTATTTCTTCAGACTTGGTAAAAAATTTCCTCTGCAGATCAACAGAAAAACTTATTTTGACTAATGAAGCAAGTCAAGTTTGATGATGTTGCCTGCTGAATTTCTATCGACTTAGTCTTTGTGGTGACATGGACTCTTTTGCCTTTTTTGTGCTTTCCATGAATGTTTAGTGTACTTTCCTGTGAGCTGCGGAACAGTTTCACCCCTGTGAGCTTATGTATTTTGTAATAGTATTTTTACCTGACTTCTGCTCCTTGAAATGTCTGGATAGAATCTTAAATTGTACTTTATATCAAGTAAAATTATTTGAGGCAATGTGAAAATGATTTTCATACTTGTTGCCGTAAGACCTGCTGTACAAGGTAATTTTGCAATAAATGTCACTTTGTAGAGAGAGATCCTGTGTGATGAAATGTGACACTGTTGGGGTGAATGTGACTTCACTGTCCTTTCCATCGTTTACTCTTAACCTGAAAAACTGTTGCAGCATCACATAGAACATGCTGATCACCTCTCCTCCATTAAATGAAATGGAGATTATTGCATCTATTTCTTAAGAAAGTAAGTTTTGATGAAAGGGAAGTGCTTCTTCCCCAACATGTAACTGGATGAACTGAGAATTACTGTTCTTATAATGATGGAAAGAGTTAAATTGTCTTCAACAGAGGAATAAAAAATCTGGAATCTTAGTTGCTGTAAACCTGTGCAAGTGTGCTGACCTGCACTGTCTGAGGACCTGCTTTGTTTTAAAAAAAAACTGAGTCCATCCTTCAGGAAGTAATTAAAGTGTGTTGTAACTGTTTTTTTCTTATTTTAGGTATGTTTCCATAAAGCCTGATAATAGAAAGCTGATTAACGGTACTAATGTGCTAGGCCTGCTGCTGGACACTTTACTGGAAGATGGATTTCGCCTCATAAGCACCAGGACAGTCTCGAGTGAAGAAAAAGTTGAATGCTACATTTTTGAAAGGATGAAGAGGCCAGCAGGCCTTACTGTCACGGTGAACCAAACCCCAGGGAGCTCTGGGGTAGCACAGGCAAAGAGAAGTCAAGTGCAGAAAGGGAAATAAAGGTTTTTCCTTCCATCTTTTGAAGGTGAAAGAGGGGTATGTCAGTACTAGTGGCCTCTTTTTGTTGGCTTGTTTGAAACTGCAAGTATCAAGGGAAGTAACAAACAATTTTTTCTTCAAGTATTTGGAAAAAAAAAATTGCTTTCCTGCCTTTTACCACTCCACCCTCTTGAATTCTAAATAAAAGAGCCACAGATTTAATACTGGTTTTGTGGACCAGATTCTAGCATTTTCAAGGATTGTTTTTGTTTTTCTCTGTGACTAAAATTTATATTAGGAATTGCAAAAAATCAGCCATTCCTTCTAGAAAATAGTTTTTATGTTCTGTGCTAATTTGTAACATTTTTATGTTCTGTGCTAATTTGTAAGTAGATTTTAAATACATGATAATACATGAGCCAATAACAGCTTGATACAACTGTCATCCCAATAGTTTGGAGAAGTGGCTGGAGGAGGAATTTAAACCTCAGCAATTGAATATTGCTTCTGCTTTCAAAAGATAGATGTATGCTGATTCTCTTGCAGTTTGCTGAAAGCTATGTAATGTAAACATCCCAAGTTGGATCAGCTTGGATAGATTGGATCAGTGGGCCAATGTTAACGGGATGAGCTTCAACAAGGCCAAGTGCCAGGTCCTGCACTGCATGGCTACAGGCTTGGGGAGGTGTGGCTGGAGAGCTGTCTGGAAGAAAAGGATCTGGGGGTTCTCATTGACAAGCAGCTGAACACAAGCCAGCAGTGTGCCCGAGTGGCCAAGAAAGCCAACGGCATCCTGGCTTGGATTAGAAATACTGTGACCAGCAGAAGTAGGGAGGTGACAGTCCCCCTGAACTCTGCACTGGTGAGGCCACACCTGGAGTATTGTGACCAGTTCTGGGCACCTCAATACGAGAGAGATATCGAGGTGCTGGAGCGAGTGCAGAGGAGGGCAACGAAGCTGGTGAAGGGCCTGGAGAACAAATCCCATGAGAAGCGATTGAAGGAGCCGGGACTGTTCAGTTTGAGGAAGAGAAGGCTGAGGGGAGACCTCATCACTCTCTACAGCTGCCTGAAAGGACATTGTAGAGAGGTTGGTGCTGGTCTCTTCTCACAGGTAACTAGCGATAGAACAAGGGGGAATGGCTTTAAACTCCAACAGGGGAGGTTTAGACTGGACATTAGGAAAAAATCTTTCACAGAAAGAGTGGTCAGGTGATGGAATGGGCTGCCCAGGGAGGTGGTGGAATCACCATCCCTGGATGTGTTTAAGGGTTGTTTAGATGCGATGTTGGGGGATATGGTAGGAGAGAACTTTGTAGAGTAGGGCTGATGGTTGGACTCAATGATCCCAAGGGTCTTTTCCAACCTGAATGATTCTGTGATTCTAAGTTGTACCACTGTGTGGCTCCAGATGTGAGAAAGTGGCTTTGTGAAGCCACCACTAGTGTCCATGAAATAATGTGTTACTGTCTCTTGCAGAATACTCCTCTGTCCTCTCCTCCCACTCCGAGGGCATTAAGCAGCTCTTCAGTGCTGAGAATTAGATGAAGGTCTTTGTGAACAAAGGGTCAGTTAGTTTATAGAGCTTTGAAAAGTCCTTCAAATGGAAGAATTAGTACAATTTTAAACAAAATAGTACAAAGGATTTCTTAACGATTGTTAAGTGCAAAACATATTTAGGAGGAAGGCTTGGCAGAAGTGTAAAGATGTCAAAATTAGCTCAGGTACCAGAAGAGGTAAATTAATGAGGCCTTATCAATTAAGAATCTTTTGTTCTCCCTTAACGGCAAGTGAAGAAGATAGCAATAACTTCAAGGATTCATTATTTGAATCTGACTTTTGTTGTCGATAAAACACCATCTTTCCAGAGTTACGAGCAGCCAAGTAGAGCTCATTTGGGCTTTCTTGGCTGACTAATTAGATCTGTTTTTTCATTAGCTTTAAAATGTGAATTTATTACTTTATTTGCTGCACTTAAAAATGAGGGTGGGAATCACCTATCTTTTTCTTACACTTTGGAGTTTCAATTAAATGAATTTTCCCAGACTCATGGTGCAACTATTGGACATCTCTTTTCTTTTGCTACCATTGTACTATATTTTAGCTTGGCACAAGTTCAGTTCAGTGGCAACAGTGAGGTCTTCTGCTTGTTCTAGAGCTTTCTGGGTTGAGAATAATGGGATTGTGGGACTGCATGTCCTAAACTGCTTACAGATTATATAATGTAATAAATATTGAGAAACGTAAGGGTTCAAATAGGATTTTTTTGTCAATATGTTCATATTCATCTCGATCTAAGACATTTTTTATAGTGAGATCCATCATTCACTGCAAGAACCTCCCCAGGGGTGTGGTGGAGTCCCATCACTGGAGGTTTTCAAGATGCAATTGGACAGGGTGCTAGATCATCTCATCTAGGCTCTCTTGGCTGCAGCAAGCTGGACAAATGGCCTTCTGAGGTCCCTTCCAGACTGGCCTATTGTGTGATTCCATAGAGACCTTCTGTGAAGATCTGTGCCAGAAGGTCTATCGTGGTGGACTTTGATGTCAGACTGCCAGTGGCAGCATTCAGGGGACAAAGCAGACAAGATGTATGGGATGACTGTCCCGACAGGTTGCTGTACTACAAAGACAACACAACTGGTTTTCTAAGTTCATTTTGACGTCCATGTACTGACTTTCCAGAAAAGTTCCCATTCCTCGAACTGGGATAAACCCCAAACCAATATTGACAAGTATTGAGTGAGTCAGTGACTGTGAATATTGTTGAAGAGACTTACCAATAATAGCAAGAAGCACAAGACAGAAGTGGCAACTTTTTACAGGGAACAGAAAAAAATGGCTGTATTTAAACATCATGCCTTAAATGATCGCTGATAAGCACCCGTGTAAACTAAGTGACACTATATTCAGAACCCCTTGTAGTAACAAAATTAGGCTACTTCACCTACCGTGGGAATAGTGAGTTTATTTTCCTTGCTGCAGCAGCCAACGATGAAAATTGAAGTTTGGATTACTTTTATTTTAAATAAAGTGAAGAAAATGAAGTATTTCCATTTCTAAAAAGCTCTGGAGTTTTAACCTGTGACATCAGTCATGCTCCATGGCTTTGGCAAAATGATTATTCGGTACAACCATTTCAGTAACAACTTGTGATGGGCTAGTGCTGAACACTTTCTGGTTCCCCTCATAGGTTAGTTTTTATTCAGCGCAAATATCATTCTATGAATGTAGTATTTTAGCTCTGGAAAAATACACCAGTGCAAGTTCTTGTCCTGTAAAGCACCTTACATGCATTACCTTGACCTCGTGTAATGGCGTACTGTGAGACTACATGTCTTTTTCAAGCGAAGTATGTGACTGTCAGCAAGTTTGGATACCAAATATTCTTCTAGCATTTATTCTTACTTAGCACTGAGCAGAGAAGTGTCCCCTTCTGTCACTTGTGCACCTGCAGAGACCATGACTAGGCTTGTATACAATGCTTTTGTTTTGTGTTTTTTTGTTTGTTTTGGTTTGGTTTTTTAACTGATAGTTGCTTAAATAAGTTTGAGAGCAGCGTGTGTGTCAATAACCTGATAGAGATTTGTCAGATGTGTCAGACTGAGACCAGTAGGATAACCATGGCTTTTAATTTCAGATAATTTGGTATTAAGCTGGTTCTTTAAAGGAAAGCACCTCCCTGGATTTCATTATACAGAAAGTGGAAGCAGCAATGATACAGCTACAGGTGTTGTAGTTTCAACGTACAACTTAAATGGTAGTAATCATGGAGGAAGGGGTTAAAGTATGTTCGTCTGCAGACAAATTAATATAAAAATAGCATCAGTTTACTAGGAGGATCTTCAGCTGGCCTGGATAGCTGCTGCCCTCCACCTTGCAAGATTATTTATGTTACTGTAAAGTGTTGCTGAACCAGGATGGCAATTTTTCTGTGCCCTCTTTGGAGCATATCCTGCAGGCACTGAGGCAGTTATTTAGAAGTAGTGGCCAATATTTTTGCTGCACCTTCCCTCCTGAGGTCCCAAACAGGCAGGGATACAACAGAGACCAGACTGTGGTGTATCATCAGCAGAGTAGTTCACACTGGTGCATTTCCACAGAAGGTCACGGCTGTACAAGTAGAAGTGAATTTGGCTGATGGAAGCCCAGATTAGCTACGAGTCTGAATGATTTTAAGAGCCTTCTGGTCAAAACCAGATTATGTATTCAACTAAGGACTTTCACCCAAATCTTGGCAGGCAAATCAAGTCTAGTATCTCACAACACGATCTCTGCTGGACTAGAAGCGTATTGTAAGTGACTTGGTCATGCTTTTACATACAACAGAACCAGGAGCTCTGATCGCTCACACCTAGCTCTAGTTTTGATTAAATAGGAATGGGATTTTGAAACATTTAGACATTTTTGCCAATGAAGTTAGAATTTGTGATTCCTGACATAATCCACTTCTTCAAGTAATTTCCAACTTTTTCAAGAAATTAATTCCTTTTTCCTGGGAAGCTGCAAAATTTGCTGATTTCAGTAACCTTACTGCTGTATTTGCCTTTTTATTCTTCCATTCAGAAAAATGTGCAAACTGCTTCACTGTCTGAGATGCTCAAAACTGAGTGCTGTAGGACAGTCCTCTTGCACACTTAGAGCGAGGAGTGAGCTCTCCTCTGCTTTCTAATACACAGGTGGACTGCCAGAACAGTAAGATCACTAGAGGTAAAGGAAACAAAACAGTAGGAAAACACGGTCATTCTGTCTGTTTACGTGACAGAAGTAGATCATCTAAAAGGAGGCAAGAGTTTGCTGGATTTGCAAAAGGCAGATGATTCAGAAAGACAACACCTCATTCATCTTACATTTTCTTTCTTATTTTAATCACTTTTCCCTCCTTTTTAGTTGGATTACATCCTGTGTTTCTAAATTCAAGACTGTCAAGGGCTTTACCAACAGTCTTGTGGTACCTGTTGGATAATCCAACAGGATAGAAACACCACATTTTTTCCATCCCCCTGTTCTTGCACTGTGTTGATTTCCTTTTATAGTGGTTACATTTTTGTGCTTTTAAGTAACTTTTTGTCTGCTTCTTCACACTCTGAGAGGTTCTTTTACATCCTTCTTACCTCTTCTGGGGACATGTAATTTATTTACCACTTGAATTGTTCAGTCATCTGCTGGTACCAGAAAGGAGAGAATCTGACGCTAAATACCATCCTGGTTTTTGGGTATTGATTTCAATATGACAATTGATGAGGGTTTTTGTTCTTTTTTGAAGTGCAGTCACTGCATTCTTACAGGTTCTACAGTTGGTGCTCATGACATTGTATAACTAATTAAGAATAAATGTTTAAGTTAAGCCATTGCAATTGATACTATGTTTACACTAAAAGACTGATCTCTCAGCGCTGGCTGCAGTACTGGGAAGTTTTCCCCTTTGCTAAATAATTCCAAACCATTTTTCACTTCCCTACATAATTGAATCTCATGGAAATAGTAGAAGACTCCACCCTAAGATGCAGTATATGAGGAATTAATAGCCACAGGGCAAAAGAATGATGCTGGAGGAATTGCATTCTGCTCTGCTTCTACAGGCCTGCAAACAGGGGTAGTAAACTTCTGTTCTGACTTTGGAGAAACTTTTCTCC